TGTCCTTACTCTTTTCTTCATAAGTTTTGTAGCCAATCACTGTTCCCCAAGCGCCCAAGAAAGACATCTGCCAAGTCACCAAGAGCTCCCTTGAAGCCCTCCTTACTAGGCTTAAAGTGAGGGTGTTGCATTTTCTTACTCCCCTCTCCATGACCCCCGCCCCCACAGGGACAGCTCCCCCTAGGGTCCCCTGACAGACTCACTAATGGTCCAGTGCACTTTTTGCCTCCTCTTATATAAGTCAGAGGTGGGGGAAGGGTTATTAGAAGAGCTGCATAGACAGTGGTAGGTGACGTCAGCGGTACCCTAAGTTCTGTGACACTTGCCACCATGTGCCTCCTATGACCCCTCACTGCATGCCCCTACTCAGCTCTCCGTGTGAAGGCTTTCTCTAGGGCCCCCTGGGTAGGCCAGAGTGCTAGCGATCAGTACACCTGGAAGCAGCCCTCAGGCAATAAGGGATGTGAGTTGGAGGATAAATACCCCAGCTCCCTCTCCCCCAATGTGTGTTCTGCGCTCTCTCTCAGACTGAGCTCCATATGCAAAGTGCAAGCTGCCCATCAATGCACTCTGCATTGACCCTTCCCTTCCTCTGTCTCACTTCGCCCCAGGTACTGCCTGGGATGGTCTCTCAGATAAGCCAGGCTTCCCAAGACACCTCTTTGCTCAAGCTCTGCTCTGGACAGCCCAGTCTCAGCCAACAGCCAAGAATCTCTCTTTAGACTGTTGGAATGCTCAGTAACTATTGACTTGTTCTAAGCTTAGAACTTTGATTGAAGTTCTAGGCCAACCAAAGAGGGTTGCATTTCAGTTTGTTGTACACTGTTTACAAAGTACACTCACATAAGTCAGAGCTTCTGAACCTTGACATTATTTTAGACTAGGTCATTTTTTGTGGAGGACTGTTGTGTGCTCCAGGGTATTTAACAGCATCTAGGAGTTGACTCTCCAATGGCACCCACCAGTTGGGACAACCGTGTCTTCAGACATGGCCAAATATCTCCTGGAGGGCCAAACCACCCTTCATTGAGAACCACAGACGTAAGTCATCTGATGTATTTAGTAAATTATAACCAGAGAGAGAAAGATAGGGGGCTGTTGGGGGCATGAAAGTAATGCGATGTTCTGTGAGACTGATCAACAAGGAAGGGGGTCTGGGTGTGTATGCAGAGACCTCCCTGAACACTTCGGGGACACACGTGCCCATGATCTGAGGCTACTGGAAACTGGGGGGTAGATGGCGGTGTGGAAACTGTTGCAAATGCCTGGTTCTCTATTTTGCTCTGTCTCTCTTACTCATGGGAGAAACAAATGAATAATTTTTTTTAAGAATTACTTATTTTAATCATTGATTTATTTTGTTTTTAATTTTACTATAGGACATGTGTGCTCACCAGAGAGAGACAGTAAGAGAGAGAAAAAGTCAGAAAGCAAGCCGCCAAGTCTGGGACTTGAACCACAGTCAGACACATGGAAATCCAGTGCCTTAACCACTCTGCCGCCACCTGCTGGTCCCCCAAAATAAAAATTTTAACATAAATAAATATGGGCCAGCGGGTGGCAGGGTGGTTAAGCCGCTGGATTTCCACATGGCCAACCACAGTTTGAGTCGCAGACCTGGCAGCTTGAAAATCATGCTGGGCGTGTGTCCGTGCATGCCCCTAATCCCAAAAGGAGAGTGGAGGAGAAGGGATTGCAGCTTGACCATCCCTTCTGGGGGATGATTTCTTTCTTTCCTTTTCCCTGTCTCCCTGTTTCTCTCTGGCAAGCACATGTGTCCCACAGCAAAAGTCTAAAATAGAACAATGGAGAAGGATGATGGTGGTGGTGGTGGCGGCCATAACACGCACAGTGGAAACTGGAACAGGATCACGTGACTTAGCAATGACTTGACCTTGCTTGCTCAGGTGCTCACAGTGGACCAGGAATTTGACCCCAGACCTTCTGCATGTCTTTCCTTCTCCTCAAAGCCCGTGACATAGAGTGGAATTTACGAAGCCTGATTCCCAGACAAGGCCCTTCGCAAAAATCACACACCTCCATAAAAGTGACAAAGCTGAGAACAAAACCCAAATTTCCTGACTTCCTGGCTCAGTGCAGCTTCCTGTTTCACAGAGAACAAAGAGTTGAGTGAGGTTTTCAAATGCAAGCTATTTGCACCCTTGAAGATGCTTCTCCCGTGCTTAGATCACTGAAATGAATGATGGAATAGACAACTCGTGCACCGTCTGCAGCCCACTGTTACCAGCAGATCAGCTGTGAAGTCGGCTTAAGGAATGAGTGTCTGCCGTCTACCCCGTTCACCCTTGCCTAATCCAGCACGTGGTGAGCGACTGATGTCTTCACGGTACTTAGAGCTAAAGAGGCTCTTCCCTGCCACAGGTCATGCGCTGACATCGGCCCTGCCATTTCTGCTGTCAGACAGACTCTCTGCCAGGCTCTTTCTGACCATGGCACGTATCAAGGACCTACTGTGTACGAAGAGGTTGACAATTCCGGAATCTCAATGTAGTAGCGGCCTCGGGGCTACACTCTACTTGAGAACTGGCAGAGGGTAGGAAGGCTCTGTAGACTTTGACTTGAAGCCATGTGTGCGAAGCCAGCAGACAGCTTTATTAGGAGAGGCTGTTTGGGGCCTGGTGGAAGGGAAGCTGATAGAGATTATGGGAGGGGAGCGATTAAACCATCAAAGGGCTGAGCTCTGGGGGTACACTCCATAGCATGCTGGACTGCAGTGCTGGAAGCCACGTGTCAACCACCAGTTCAAATCCCCAGGCTAGCCTGAAAACAGTCTGAGCATACAAGGGTTCCCCAGACCCTGAGAAGCTGGAGGACTGGGGAAGGGAATCACAACTGTTGAGACTTTTTTTGAGGGTTCTCTCTATTGCTTTCTCTCACATACGCATAGGCATGTGTGCGCACACGCTCGCTATCATAAAAATAAAATAAAATAAATAAAATAAAACCTTCCTAAACCATCCCTCAGGGCAACTTACACAAGAGGTGCCATGGAAGGTGTTGGGGTGGATCAACTGCAATCCCTACCCCTAGAAGCAAACTGCCCACAGCATCCTCACATTTCTGCTGTTTCGCTCTTACCACTTCCAAGACTGGCATGGAGAGCTGCCACCCACCACCCGTCCCCGACTGGCAGCACACTTCACCATGGAGAGCTGGGTGGAGCCATGTGGAGGGGGTGGCTCTGGTCTGTCCACAGCAGTTCCAGGGGCTTTGTTCAGGGTGGTGAATTACTCAGTCCTGCTGCTCCCATTTAAAGCCCTTCGGTGTGTCCCCAGCTCCAGCAAGATGCTGTCCCAATGCCTCGGCTCAGCTCTTCAAGCTCTTCTCAGTCCAGTCCCCGCAGAACTCTGCAGACTCCCGTGCCTTCACCCATAGGCCAGGCACTCTGGTTCCTTCTGGGGCCATGACTTCTCTCTTGTCTTTCTCTCTCTGCCTTGTGATTGGCCTTCTCCCCACTCTTGAGGTTCCCCCACTCTGTCTCAAGGCTTCAAAGCAAACATTACTTCCTCCAGGGAGTCCTCCATACCACCCCCAATCTGAGTTAGTCCCTGCTCTACACCTCAATCATAAATCTTACCTTAATTCTTGACTAAATAGATCGCTACACCGTGACTCCTCTGAACACAGCACAGTGCCAGGCACGTACCATGTGCTGAAGACATGCTGGGCAAGCCCTGGCACAGTGGCACAGTGAGGGTGCAATGCCTGCAAGGCTGGAAGTCACGTGACAGACCCAGGTTTTTTTCCAAGCTTGGCGCATGTAAAACAGCTCGCACGAGCGTGCCCCTCATCCTGGCTGGCTGGGAAAGGTTGTGGGGGGTTCCTGGAGTGAGACTCTGGTCTTTCTTGGAAGGAAGGAAGGGAGGAAGGGAAAAGGGTGAGAGGGAAGAGGAAAAGACTGCAAAGGGAAGGACAGGAGAAAGGGAAAGGAAAGAAAGAAAAATTTTCTTAAAGAATTATTTTTTTAATTTTACTCATTTATTTCTTCTTCATTTGACCAGAGAGAGCGAGAGCGAGGGAAAGCGAGAAAGCAAACTACCAAGTCTAGGACTCGAACAGCAATCAGCCGTGCGGAAGTCCAGCTCCTTAACCGCCATGCCACCTGCCAGCCCCAAAGGAACAGTTTTTTTAAATATTAGAGAAAAGGAGACAAGAAGAAGAGAGAGATGTAAGAGAGAAAAAGAAGAGCGATGAGGGGGGAAGGCACACGAGCTGATATCTGGTCACAGTCAATGCAGACAAAGCTGAATGTCTGGCAGTCTTTCAATCAGAGATCAATCTCATCCAGCTCGCCTAAGACGGCATGCGTGTCCGTGGCATACCGATGTGCTTTCTGGATTATTAATTGTCCACTGCGGATCTAATATTTAGTATGGAGGGACTTTCTTGCACTTGAGCCTTTGATAATGTGTCACCCTTTAATGCTATGGATAGTGAAAGCAGCTTGGAGCATATTTCATGAATAAGGGACCTCTGCCTCATGCTCTGTCCCACCCCTTACATGTAATAGATAACTCAGTTGATGTTGAAGGATATGCCGCATAATAAAGGAAAATGTATTTCGCCCTACATGAAAATGCATGTTATAATTAGCAAGCTGTCAGCATGCTCTGCATCAGGGAAGAAAGAAAGACCCTTGTCATGCAGCCAGCATGTAGCTCAACTGCACATAGTTGTCACCCAAGAAGTGATTCCTGATGACAGGGGTGTTGAAGATGATTCCTCTGACAATGCAGTATTTGGCTTTGTAAGGAGTCTCGTACATGCAAGACCATTCACGAATGTGTCCACTCATCCACAAATCTGTGTGCCGTTTGTTGGAAAGAACAGCCTGCCCTGGTCACATGCATCATTTATACTTATCTCAACCCCAATTCCTAATCCTGGGGTCTTAAGAAATTGTATTTTTAAAAAAATTAAAACCGTGTTGAATGTCCATACCCTGCTTCACCTGAATCCTCTTCTCTCTGCCCTCCAAGCCTGAACCTGAGCAACAGCGATATTTTGACCATCTATGACGGTGACGAGGTCATGCCCCACATCTTGGGACAATACCTTGGGAACAGTGGTCCCCAGAAGCTGTACTCCTCCACGCCAGACCTAACCATCCAGTTCCACTCAGACCCTGCTGGCCTCATCTTTGGAAAGGGCCAGGGATTTATCATGAACTACATAGGTAGGTGTCTCAGGTGGTCTATTTTTTTTCTTTGTGTTTAGATGTGGGTTAAGATGGTTTCCCCTATGGGGCCAGCAGGTGGCATGGTGGTTAAGATGTTGGACTCCCACATGGCTGTCAGCAGTTGGCTGGGACCTGGCAGCTTGAAAATCCTGCTGGGTACGTGTGTGTATGCCCAAATTCCTTGGAGAAGAATGGAGGAGAAGGGATTGGCCATCCGCCCAGAGGTGATTTCTCACTGTCTCTGTCTCTCTCTGGCAAGTGCACACACCCCATGGCAAAAACCCTAAAAAGGAAAAAAAGAGAGAGAGAGAGATGATTTCCTCTAGATAGATCTGTTGAAGATTCTGTGCTATGTGGGTGTTTCAGTGTGTTTACACAGTAAATATAAATAGTTTATAAGCAGCGGGGCTCTCTAGTCAGGAGCAGAGTTTGAATCCTAGTGCTGTTACCAACCACTGTGTGATCTTGGGAAAGTCATGGAACCTCTCTGAATATCTTTTGTGTCATCTGTGGAAGGGAAATAGGGATACCTCCTCATAAGGCTGCTGTCAGCACTTACTAGGTTATGCCTCATGATGTTAAGAATCGCCATGTTTCGTGTGTAGGCAACTGACGTGTTCATACTATCAACACACTCCACTGTATTTACAACTTCTCAAAGCACCGTCTTCACCATCATGCCTGAAGTAAAGTTAGGTTCTCCTCCAGGACTCTCCTTCCTCTGTCCCATCCGAGGTCCCACTGACCCTAGCCCAGAGGAACATTGAACAACTCACAGAGCATCTGGCCACTCCCTGTTATGTCATAGCAGAATTAGTTCCAGGCCTGCAAGGATAAGGAGCTCTCTCACCAGGGGCAATGCTGAGCTTCCTTACTCCCAACTCTAAGAGTTCTTCCATCCCTAATATTCTTGGTAGCAGCAGTAAACCTGGGAGACACAGGTGGTAATTAAGACCTAACATCTTGGGATCAGCAGATGGCATAATGGGTGAGTCACTGGACTCCACCTAGTCAACTGTGATTCAAGTTCCGGACCTGGAGGCTTAGAGGTTATGCCAGGTACATGTGCGTGCATGCCCAGAATCCTGAAAGGAGACTAGAGGAGAATGAATTGGGACATAGCCATAACCTCAGGGGGTGATTTCTCACTTTCTGTCTCTCTGTCTCTCTCTCTGTCTCTCCAGCAAGTGCATGTACCCTATAGCAAAAGAATCTCTCTTTTAACAAAAGAAAAAGATCTGATGTCTTCTGACATCTAGAATGGTGGGTGGTTGTATCAACAACATAAGTGGGCAGGACTCAGCCAATGGTTAGGGGGCATGCTTGAACTACTCAAGAGCTAGTAGGCATCTCGATTTCCAGAATAGAGCAGAGAAAAAGGAGATTCACCCTACCAATCCCAACCCACCACCATCACTACCAAAGCCCCTCTGGCTGGATTCCATGTGTTCAGTTCCTCCACTTTGCTTGAAGAATTGCCCATCTCTACCTATTTAAATGGTCCTCTCTCCACCAACCCTTGGCTCTAAACCACAAGCAACAATCCTTACCAATGGATGTCTCAAGAAACCTCATGCGTGCTAACATAAGTTCCTTGTTTTGTTTGGTGGTTTTGTTTTTCCAGCTGGTAAACATTTCTCACCCCAGCATGTGGCATGTCCACCTCTCAGAGAGGTGACCACAAGTATCAAGCCTTTTTTATGTTTCCCTGGGACTTTTTTTAACCCTTGACTGTGCTAAATGTTTTCAAAGAGGTCTTGTTGCTCATTTTCGTAGGTTTCCCACTCTTTGCCGGGCAGTCCCAGGTGTCAGGGGATGCGATGGCTCAGGTTGGCTGTCCAGTTGCGTGCCTTTCAGGGTCAGCTGCCCTTGCAGGGCAGTTTCTGGTGGATTGGCCTCAGACTCTTTCCTTAGACTTCCCTTCCCTCTGAGAGATGAGATCATAGTTTTGTTCATTTGTCTCCTCTGGTGCCAAGTCAGTCTTCCAAAACTGCCTTCAGCTTGATGGAGAAAATCTGTCGCCACCCAAGGCTGATCAAGGTTAACCAGAAAGTCTGGCCAATATTCCAAGTGGCAACATCTTGAAGAGATATTCCTCGTCATTGAACTTGAAACTTAGATTTGTGTGACAATGTACCATTGGCAAGTACATTCGTATACGTTATTTAATTTCATCTTCAAAGGCATCATCTTCATTTTCCAGAGAGTTTGGTTCACCAACGTCTCCTGATGTTTCCTATAGGCTTGGCTCTGGGCTAGGCATCAGGATCTAGGGATGAATAAAGTATCCTCCCTGCCCTCCAGCCAGATAGTAAAAACGGGAGAAGCAGCCCAGTTAACAATGTCAGGGTCGTGTGCTGATGCCACCGAAAAGGCAAGCATCGGATTGCAGAAAATGTTTCCCAGGGATACACAGCCTGGCTAATTTGGGTAAAGGAGAAGGAGAGAGAGTGAACGAGAATAATTCCATTTCCTCTTATTTCTGTTAAAGCGACACACAGTTAATTTCACAAGGATGGCAAATGGACCTCTGCAGTTAATTTCAACGCCAGTCCTTTGCTTGTGACTACATTGAAGACCATGTTGAAAAGAACTCAGAAGAGGTTATTCCTGAAATCAATGGGAAAGGAAGCCATGGTTGATTTGTGGTATCTGTAATGGGCATGGGAGATGTATTTGCTATCCTGGGTCTAGATTTGACCAGACATGAATGCAACTTCTATTCAGTAGAGAGATAAGGGGGTAGGGCCAGGGATTTCTGTGGTCTTCTAGAGAATTCTGAAGCTTCTAGACTAGCCTAAAGGCCTAACCTCAGCTCTAAAAGGGACAAAGACTTATCTGCTCTGGACATAGCAAGAGCCTTCCATAGGAAGACTCTGGGCCCACATGATTCTGACCCTACCAGAATTCTCCTTTGCACAAACATCAGTTTGCAGAGAGCTGCAAACACCAGTTCTTCTCACTGCTTCCTATTCTTTTCCTAGTGTCTACAGTCAAGGGCATGGAAAAGAAGGGAATTAAAGTCAGAGATAAGTAAAGAGTGGTTTTGGAGGAGATTTTTGTGTGAATTCCTCTAGGAATAAACCTAGGACAATAAATAACCTCCATGTTGTAAGTCAATTCCAAATGATTCCCTGGAGTACCACATTGAGGAGAATTGAGAAGGCTCAACTTTTTTGAAAAAGAATGCTGTGATTGATTAGTGATGTCTGCCATGAGCATGAAACTGGTAAATAGTGATGTGTACTCAGTGTATTTAGGCATTTCTTTTGCCTACAGGTTGGACCATGATGCTGATCTTGACCCTGAGACTAAAACTATGGCTTTAGATCTGTGTAGCCTTAGTGCCCGGCATATAATATTGGGTCAAAAGAAAAGTCGTGATGTATTTTTCTGTTTTTCTACACAAAAATGTGTCATGCTTTTCCAAAGACCCAGTAGATGCTTAGAAAATCTTAATCAAAGACCTAAACGAATACACGTAATTCACTTTAGTATCCACACAACTACTATCACATTCTGCCTGTTAATTAGCTTTCACATACTTTTTGGGAATGACAAGGTCATGATTCTTGACCCCACTCTACAAATGAGAACAACAGGGCTTAGAGAAGTTCATTGACGTGACTGGAGTCACAGAGCTTCTGAGAGAAAGAAAGGGGAGTAAAGGAGATGTCTTCCAACTCCTTGGCTAGTTTAGCAAAGTTAACAAGAGCCCATAGGGGCAGATAATTCTAGAACCTCCAATTAGGGTGCTCAGTAAACATGCAGATTTCTGAATCACAGTCTCTGGGGGATAGAATCTGAGAACTAAAGAGCAGGAGAACTAAATGACGTAGCCAAGGTCACCCACTAGTAAACAGTGGCGACAAGATGCAGCCAAGGCTCTGCTACATGGTGTCAACCACTGAGTAATTACAAATGTGATGCGTGTCACAAAGGAAGCAGGAGGTCCCACAGGAGTGTGCAGCCATGTGGTTCACCCTGAGAAGGCTGACAAGCAAATGCTTCTCAGTCTCAAGGCATTTGACACAGGGCAGACCACGTTTCCAGTGTTTGCTTCCATTTCTGCCTTTTCATCCATAATTTGAGTCTTTACAGCTGCGTCCTAAATTCAGGGCTTGGCTGATTTTTCAAAAGACTAAAAATAGAGGCTCCTGTTCCCCACTACGCAATTCTAGAAGCCATTTTCCTGCCCGTTCTTCTTGCAGACACCCCTGAGATCTCCCTTCCCCAAATAAAATCATGATGAAATCCTGGGAAAAGCCATTGCTTGCTTCTCAGAATGACTTTCCTGCAGACAATGAAGGCGCTTTGCTTTCCCCAGAAGCACATAAGAACTGCAAATTAATTACACGACATAATTAGCTCTCTTCTCCAAATCTGTGCAGTGGGCACTTTGAGGCAAGAATAGTAATAGTGGGCTTTGGATTGCTACCTTAGTAACGCGAGTTTGCAGGAGGAAAACAGAATTACGCCTGAGGAAGATCATAAGCTCTTCTGGAATATGGTTAATAGGTGTTGCTGATATGCAGCTTGACTTGAAACACAGCAATTATTTTTATTTGAATACTTAAGAATGTATCTTAATGCATATTACAACTGTATATATATATATATACACACATATATATGTGTATGTGTGTATGTGTATATATAGATATAGTTGTGTATATACACACACACACACACACACGTGGAGAGAGAGTTGTGTATATATACACACACACACACACGTATATATATATATACACATACACATATACATATACATTACATTTCACCCACCCTGTGGATTTACAGATATTCTTAGGATGAGGGTATTGTTGCATAATACAATACAGCACAAACTATCAATAAACATTATCTCACAGTTTCCATGGATCAGGAAATCAGGAACAACAGTCATTGGGTGACTCTGTCTTGGGGGTCTCTAATGAGGTTGCAGTTGAGACGTCAGCAAGGGCTTCACTCTCATCTGAAACCTTGACTGGGGCTGGGACGTGCCCTTCCAAATGGCTCCTGCACATGGCCGACAAGGCAGTTGCTGCCAATTACTGGCAGGAGGCCTCCGTTTCTCTCCGTGTGGATCTCTCCAGAGGTCTACCTGAGCATCCCCACAACATGGCAGCTGCCTGCTCCCAAGCAAGCGGTCCAAGAAAGAACACACAGAGACCCTTTATGTCTTCTGTCTTGGAAGTCACATGCAGTCACTTTTACACAAGCCTTTCTTTTTTTTTAATATTTATTTATTTATTTATTTATATTTATTTATTTTAAATTTGTCCAGAGAGGGACTGAGTGTGGAACAGGGAGAAAGTGAGAAAGTGAGCTGCCAGATCTGGGACTCAAACTGTGGTTGGCCATATGGGAGTCCAGCACCCTTAACTACCACGCCACCTGCCAGCCACCACATTAGCCTTCTGAGTATTGTTGGGGCTACACAAGAGTATAAATTCGAGGAGGTGGGAGCTGTTGCAGGACACCTCAAAAGCTCACTACCACGACAAGGAAGACATGGCTGTGATTATTCCCTCGTGAAAAGTGAAGCACCTGATCCAGAGAGAAGTGTTGGTCTCTGGTCTAGTAAGTGGCAGAGTTAGGATTCCATCTAACTCTTAAATCCTACACTGGTTTTATCAAACCAAGAGAATGCTTGGTGAATTCAGCAGCCCATGGGGAAGGGAATTGTGAAATCCCACTAAAAGAATTCTGACTGATGAAGGGATTTGGGAAGTACATACCTTGTTTCTGGAGGGTTTTTCTTCTATTCATTCTTTCTACTAGCTTTCACCAAGGGTGACCCAAGCAAAAAGATCTAAGGATGATTTTTTTTTAAAGAGGTATCAAGGAATGACTCCTGCTCAGATTTGCCAGAGATCCAGAATGGCTGGAAAACCACTTCTCACACAGAACTTGTGAGGGGGGCCAGAATCACCTACCAGTGTGACCCCGGCTACGACATTGTGGGCAGCGACACCCTCACCTGCCAGTGGGACCTCAGCTGGAGCAGTGACCCCCCATTTTGTGAGAAAAGTAAGAATAACTTTGATTTCTTCTTCTAGATCACTGGGTGGTAAATGTCTCGTGGATGTAATTTTAATGTGAATGCAAGGGAGTTGTTGAATGTAGAATCTTGCCTCTTTCCTACCTCACCAATTCATTGGTATTGTTCACAACTGTCATTTTGTAGCCCTAAGACAGGAATCTCAGATCAGGTGCTTCCAGAAGCCTGGCAAGGAATGTAAATGAGCAAAATAGGCTAGGTATGAGACTATAGGGAGTGGTGTGGACTGTGGTGAATGGGAGTGTATGTAGCCTGTATAAAAACAACATTCAAGGGAACCAGCAGTTAGCGTAATGGCTATGTCTCTGGACTCCCACGTAGTCAACCGCGGTTCATGTCCCGGACCTGGTGGCTTAAAACTCACGCCAGGCGTGTGTGCGTGCGTGCCCAAGATCCTGAGAGGAGAATGGAGGAGAAGGGATTGCAACGTGACCATCCCCCCTGGGGAGGGGTGATTTCTCGCTTTCTGTCTCTATGTCTCTCTCTGGCTGGCTGGCGAGCACACGCACCGTATAGCGAAAATTTCTCCAAAAAATAAAATAAAATAAAATAAAATAAAATCAACATTCAAATTCAGGTTTCTAAAATACCTGTAGTATCAAAGCAAAATAAGTCTGAGTTGGCCCACAGAGCCCCAGTTCTAAAACCCTACGCAAGGGAACATTTTCCCAGCCTCTTTATTCCTGCATCCCCCAGGAAAGAGAGCCAGGCATGTCTTGCAAAGGGGTAGGAAAAGGAAATGCTTCTGATTTCTACCAGGAGCCTTACTAGCAGGGGGAGGAGCTAAATTTGGAAATGGCCTCCCCCCCACCAGCCATCTGCTTCTACGTCCTAAATAAAACTCTGGTCTCCAAACCTCTCGCTAGGAATCCTTGGTGATTCTCTGGTAGACATATTCAATATCACTTGAATCACCAAGAGTACAGTAAGAAATATTAAATCTAGCAGAGAAGAAGGGGATCAGGGAAGGAGTGTGGCTCTTACTTATAATTCCTGCCGTAAACCTTTCAACATCAAAGACTATTCATTATAATTATGGGAAACATGACAGAATCTGCCAATCTGCTCAAGAGTCACAAAATTGAGTCTATAAACTGGTCTAGGAGTTCTGTAACAGTAGGGTCTGTGCGTGTATGTGTGTGTGTGTGTGTGTGTGTGTGTGTGTATTGACAGAAAATAGGAACAAGACCTGTGATTAATCAAATCAACATCATGATTTACAACATTGTGAGAGCTTAGAAAGGACTCGAGCCAGCTCTCTATAGAAAGGTCTTCTCGCCTGACTCAGTTTTTGCCAAGAAAAGACCTAAATTAGGGCAACCCAATTTGCATTGGGCATTATGTCCCCATGCTGGGTGTCTTACTCACTCTCCATCCAAGACAGAGAAGACCCACTGCACTGCCTCAGTGCCTTCTCTTCTAGTAAAATGAAGTCAGCTAAACCCTGTGGGACAATGGAGTGTCCCCTGTGTGACAGTAACCCCTGTCATTGGTTAAACTACCCTTGTGATTTCAAGAAATAAATATAAGCATGTCTTAACATTGCATTGGTAACAGCACGTATTTAACCTATCCAAGCAGTACTAAATGTATGAAGTAGAAAGAGGGAATCCTTGGTGACTTTGCTTCCTGGAAGCAACGCCACTGTATAAACTGTATTCTATAATGTGCCATTTGAGCGTGTGTACACAGTCACACACACATATCACATGGAACACACAGACACATACATGTGTGACTATGTAGGCATATGTGGATAAACACATAGAAAGAGCTAAAGATAGAGATTTTGCCATAAAGGGATCCATTTTTATAAACTGCCTTGCAACTGCTTTTTGTGGGCTTAGAAAAATGGATATCTTTTGGGGACCAGCAGATGGCATAATGGTTACATCACTGGACTCCCACGTAGTTAACCACGGTTTGAGTCCCAGACCCGGCAGCTTAAAATTCACGCCGGGCACGTGTGCGTGCGTGCCCAAGATCCCAAGAGGAGAATGGAGGAGAAGGGATTGCATCATGGCCATTCCCCATGGGGAGTGATTTCTCATTTTCTGTCTCTGACTCTCTCTGTCGGGTGAGCGCATGTGCCCTATAGCAAAATTCTCTCAAAAAAATTTTTAAAATAAGTACAGATATCTTTTCATATCATACCTGTAGTCCACTTTGTTCTCTTTTAATTGGTGCATTGCCGTCCTTTGATCTATATTGAGTTTTTAATTGAAGAAGCAGCCATGCTTACTTACCATGTTCAAGTGCCACAAAGAGAACAATGATGGCCCTTTGCTTTGTTATCTTCAGTGGTTGAACTGGGTTTTGTGGAATAGCTGTTTCATGATATTTAACTCTTCCCCTATTAAAGGATTTGCATTGTTTTTCTTTTTCTTTAAGCCATTAAAAATAATGGTATGGTGTACAGCCTGATAAAGTTGTCTGTAAATACCAGTGGGGGATTGGTTTCAAGACCAAAATTGGTTTGATTGGTTTCATACCAAAATCTATGGATGCTTAAGTCTCTTATACAAAACGGCATAGCATTTGCAAATGACCTATGCATATCCTCCTCTATACCTTGAATCACCTCTAGATTATTTATAATTCCTAATACAGGGTGAATGCTATATAAACAGTTGTTATACTGCACTGGATTTTTAAATGCTTGTATTTTTTATTATTGTTTTGCCATTTTGTATTCCCTTTTATCCCCCTAAGTATTTTTGACCTGTGGTTGGTCTAATCAGCAAATGAAGAACCTGTGGATACCTGAGGTTGACCACATGTAAATCTTTGGATCCTGACACAAATTCTTGGAGCAAATTCCTGAAAGAGGAATTCAATTCAAGTCTCTTTCCTTGTGGCCTGTTCTTCAGCCACCTTGAACAAGCCAAAGAGGCATTATCTTCCAAAGGGAAGAGAAATGCATGAGGAACCTCTGTGAAATGTTTTGTAATTCTTGTCAGACTTAACAACCACTAAGGGGTCTGATGCTTTCTTGGGCTGGTTTTGTCCTGTGTAGTTATGTACTGCACCGACCCTGGAGAAGTGGACCACTCGACCCGCCTGATGTCGGACCCTGTGCTGCTGGTGGGCACCACCATCCAGTACACCTGCAACCCCGGCTTTGTGCTTGAAGGGAGTTCTCTTCTCACCTGCTACAGCCGCGAAACAGGGACTCCCATCTGGACCTCTCGCCTGCCCCACTGTGTCTGTGAGTCCCAATCGCTTCCTCTCTTTACAGTGGAGGGTGTGGCCACTAGAAGGAGGTATTCTACTTTTGGAGGGCTTTTACTATTATTCTGATCTGATGGTAACAGCTAACACTGATACTGCATAGGATTGGGAGCACTCGTATTATACTTATGGTCACATTATCAGCTATTGCAATGTTCTCTTTCGTCCTCAGAAAGCTCTGGGAGTTTGGTATTGTTGTCTCCATTTTAAGGAGAGGATAACAGAGCCAGGCTATGGCCTGGTGGTTAAGGGAACTTGTTCCACATGGCTGACAGGTTCAGTGACTTGGGAAACACTCCAGACACATGTGCATGAGAAAGGAGGGAGAGAATGGAGAAGAAGGAATTGAGGCATGACCATTCTCCATGGGAATGGGGTGCTTTCTCCACCCCGTCTCTCTCTGTCTCCCTGTCTGTCTCTCGCTGGCAAATGTGCACACCCTCTGGCAAAATAAAATATAAAGAAGAGAATGCTCAAGTTCAAAGAGGCTAAATCCTTGCCTCAGGTCACACAGCTATCAATAGTTCATGGAGGAGGCTAGGTGCAAACCCAGACCTTTCTAAAAGCTCCCCAGAGATTCTGATGTATGAGGGTTTCACACTCATTGCTTAAAGAAAGCACAGGTGGGACCAGCAGAGGGCGTAATGCTAAGTCATCCGACTCCCATGTAGTTGACTGGTGGCTTAAATCTCACGCCAGGCCTGTGCACGTGCATGCCCAAAATCCCCAGAGGAGAATGGAGGAGTAGGAGTTACAGTGTGGCCACCTCCCCAGGGGGTGATTTCTTGCTTTCTGTCTCTCTGTCTCTCTGGTGAATGCACGCACTATATAGCAAAAGTCTCTCTCTAAAAAAAAGAAAGAAAGAAAAAGTAAAAAAGAAAGCAGGAGGTTCCATGAAAGGAACAGAGCTTTACACGCTATTGGGGGTCCTTTCAGAGTTTAAATTGGTGTGTTAGGAGCAGCTCATTAGGGATACAGCCATCGCAAACCCCAGAAGTCTTGATCATGTTTGGGAACCAAGAACTCAACTGTAGAAGAAAAAAGATGAAATTTCAGCAAACAGCCTGCGCTGTCACCCCCACCTACTGTGATTAACACAACGTGTGTCTCTCGCAGTCCCCACAGCGCTATGTCCTGTGACTGCTCACAACTCTGCGAACACGCTTCGCTAACGCTGATGCCCAAACGAATGAGCAGCGCCATCGTGTGGATGGCGGAAGCAGTCATGCCAGAAGGCGATGGGAAGGCAAAACAGTCCTGCCCTGGGGAAGCTGGTACTTACTGAGCACTTACTAGAGGCCAGGCTCCATTCTAAGGGTGTCACGGGCACTAAGGCTTCTATTCCTGAGAGGAAAAAATAAAACCCAGGAAGTCTCTACTGTTTCTGGCTCAGAGGATGGAGCACGCCAAGTTCAAACTCTCAGATCTCCCTCTCTGCTCTATTCGTGAACCCTCCAAGGCCCAGGTCCCATTTGTTAGTTAATGAATTCACTTCTCTGTCCCAAATACATGAAGAATGTTAGGTCCGCATCACTTACTTAATATATTTCCTTTCATTAACGTCCTTCTTTTCTTAGAGGGAGATTTATACTTCAGTCTTCCTATTTCCCCTCTTTTTTTGAGGGGGGAGGTTTTTGCTATAGGGTACGTGCGCTCACCAGAAAGACAGAGAGAGAGAGAGAGAAAGTGAGAAATCACCCCCCAGCGGGGATGGCCATGCTGCAATCCCTTCTCCTCCATTCTCCTCTTGGGATCTTGGGCACGCACACACATGGGCCCAACGTGAGTTTAGGCCACTAGATCCGGACTCGAACCGTGGTCGACTACATGGGAGTCGAGCGATGTAGCCATCACTCCAACTGCTGGTTCTAGCCTATTTTTAAAAAGGGGAACTTTATTAAATATCAGAAACTCTGGGTCACATAGCCCTGTGTTTCCATCTGCTTCTTTAGTCAGAGTCCTAGAATTTCAGAGGTGAAGGGAATCTGGAGATGAAATACAACAGAGGGATAAATTAGAGAGAAAATGCAATTGTCCCGTTTAGCAGATAATAGCTATAGTTATCATTTATTGAATGTGGAGACACGCTGCTAAGCAAATTGTATGTATTCGTAAGTGTATGTGTCTATATGTCTGCATATATTTCTTTAGATATTCATAGATTAAGAAGATGGAGATGCATAGGTGAATACAGATAACAATGTTTATCATTCATTGAATGTGTAAGACTTGCTTCTTTCTTTTTCTTTTCTTTTCCTTTTTTTTTTAAGAGAGAGATTTTACTATAGGGCACATCTTCTCACCAGAGAGACAGAAAGCGAGAAATCACCCTCCATGGGGAAAACCCATGCATAGGTTTTTCATCAGTTTTTCATGACCTTTTCAAAGACCCCTTCACGTATGTGTGCGTCTTTGGCTCAGAAGAAACTATTAGGTTGTTGGGAAAGTCATGATGTATGTTTTTCCTGTTTTTCTATGTAAAAAATGCATCATGACTTTCTCAACGACCCAGTATTACAAAGGTCACCGCCCTCTTCTGTGGACAGAACTAGGATTCGAACTTAAGACTCTGGTTGCCAGGTCCAGTGGCCCTTAGGCCAGCATTTCGCTGTGGTTGACAGAGTACAAGCCCGTGAAGGGATGTCCCAGTGGAATTTCGGCCTAGGTAAGACCCTATCCTCTCACTCGCAAGCACATCCCCTCCTAAGTCCCCAAGACTTTGGGCCACGTCCACACTGTCCAGTTTTTATTTGGGGGTGAATTGTATCTGCAAAATGATCGAGTGAAACCCTAATGCTCGGTACCTGTGACTGGGACTTTTATTGGAAGTAGAGTCTTTGCAGATGGAATTCAGTTAAGGTGAGGGTGTGCTGGGTTGGAGTGGGCGCTCATACAGTGGCTGGTGTTTTTACGGGAAGAGAAAACTCTGGAGCCAGGTGGAGACAGACACAGGGAGAAGGCTGTGTCATGTTGGAAGCAGAGACTGGCATGATTGTGTCACTAGCTGCAAGCAAAGGAGACCGCAGATCGCCAGCCAGTCAGAAGAGACGAGGAAATGCTCTCTCCTGCGGATTTTAGATGGAGCACAACCCGCTGATATCTCGATCTCGGATTTCCATCCTCCAGAACTAATGGACACTACATTTCATTCATTCATTCATTTATTCCATGAGTGAAAGAGATAGAGATGACATCATCAACAGGGTCTCGACGCCAGGACTCACCCCACTTGACCCAGGCCCAGATCATGGCAAAGGCGTGGCAATCGGGGAGGGCTCCAGAGTTGAACCAGAACTTTCCCACGTGGGATTGCCTCTCAGAGACACTGTGCCACTGTCTGCTCCCAAGACAAGAAGTTTCTGTTGTTCTTTTTTTAGAGAGAGGATTTTTGCTATAGGGCACGTGCACTCACCAGAGAGACAGACAGAAAGTGAGAAATCACCTCCCAAGGGGGATGGCCACACCGCAATCCCTTCTCCTCCATTCTCCTCTTGGGATTTTGGGTATGCACATACACATTCCTGGCATGAATTGTAAGCTGCTGGGGCCAGGACTCAAATCATGGTCAACTGTGTGGGAGCCCAGCGACATAACCACTACATCATCTGCTGCACCCAAGTTTTCTGTGGTTCTTAGCCCCCCAGCCTGCGATACGTCATTAGAGCAACTCCAGGAAACAATCTCCTTCTAGCAACTGTACAACAGTTCAGACACAGCTTCAAAACGCAAGCTGCAGAGACCCAGAGATGAAAGGCTAAAAACAAAAGCTGGTTTAAAAATAGCGAAAGGTGGAGATATCCTTTTTTTAAAAGAAAAGGCACTTCACTAATGAGGCACAGCCTCTGCAGACCCTCTGCTGTAACAGCCACTGCATTTCTGAGAAGCAAGCCTCGCCTTCTGTAAGAGCACCTTTCCTGACACCTCGGGGTTGGATCTGCAGAGCTGAGGTGAGACGGCTTCCCTGACACCCATGCTAATGAGTTCACAAGCCAAGTGGGGTGTCAGAAAGTGGTACTCCCAGAAGCCCGCAGGGGAGTCAGGCATGTGGTGACAGTGACTCTACAGGCAGAAGGGGTTGATGGGAGAAAACTTACGAGGATAAGAGGGTGGTCACGATCTAGCAATGTGGCATCTGAGTGACAGAGGCTGTGGCCTGGGTTCTGAAGGTTTTTGTAAGGATGAGTTGGTTGGACATAAGACAGCTTTAAAATGTTCCATCAGTTGAACAAAGGGACCAGCTCTGATGTGATGAGCACTTGGTGTGCCAAGCTCTTCTCCAACAATAAGATACTCAGGATTTGGGCCAGCAGGTGGCGTGGTGGTTAAGGTGCTAGACTCCCATGTGGCATATGGTTTGAGTCCCCGACCTGGCAGCTTCCTTTCTCTCTCTCACGCTCTGTCTTTCTCCTATAGCAAATTAGGAAGAATAATACAGGGACCAGCAGACCAGCAGATGGCATATTGGTTATCTCGCTGGACTCTCACGTAGTCGACCACAGTTCAAGTCTCGGATCCAGCTGCTTAAAATTCATGCCAGGCGCATGTGCATGTGAGCCCATGATTCCAAGAGGAAAATGGAGAAGGGATTGCGACGTGGCCATCCCCCTTGGGGGAATGGCGATTTCTCACTTTCTGTGTGTGTGTGTGTCTCTCTCTCTGGTGAGCATATGCATCCTATAGCAAAAATCTCTCTCTCAAAAGAAAAGAATAGTAATAATACAAATGAAATAAATAAATGAATAATTTTAAGAAATAATTATTTATTTTATTTATTTATTTTTAAAATTGTACTATAGGGCACATGCACTTACCAGAGAGAGATGAGAGAGAGAGAGAGAGAGAGAGCAAGCTACCAGATCCAGGACTCGAACTATGGTCAGCCATGTGAGAGTCCAGCACCTCAACTACCATACCACCTGCTGGCCCTAATAAATTATTTTTAAAAAGAAACAAAAAAAGATGCTTTGGACTCACCAA